CATCATCTCTACAAGGTTGGTTAAACACCAGCAAGATCAATGGGTAAATTTATCAGCAAATATCACCATTCGCTGCCTGGCAAGTAATCATTAAGGAATGGCACTGATGCATTATTCATTGGCTAATGTATAATTCAGACTTAACAGCAGATTCTATGCATAAATAAAGCTGTGATACATTTAAACAGATTAAATGTTTACTTGCTAAAATAGGATATGAATGTGCCGCATGAATGCTCCCCGCTGCCATCACTCGATTATTTGCTACCATTGCTGAGGAGGTAGGGATGTAAGGTGGATGCTGAAATATAGACTTTGACAGCCCACTCATCATATCACAAACACTTAATGGACACAGGATACTGATATGAAATATGTTGTGCTGGTGGGGGAGGCTGTTACGGTGCAATAGATTGCTAGAATACCCAACAGCTTCCAGTTCATTGTTGAAAGCAGTGAATGGAAATAAGGATTATTCAATAAAAGCACACATCTTAACGGTAGAACAATTTTATTTCCTGGCACATGAAGATTTATGGACCGTCACTCTCACTTTTATTTCCCCTGGACATCTGCACCTGTGTTTAACCACCGTGCTGCGATTGTGAGGATGCTCATGCTGAAGTGTCAGAGTTGGTGTCAGAGGGACAGTCAACAGGGAGGACAAGGAAGCGGCGAGGACGCACTCCAGGCTCCATCTGACTGTGTTCAGAGCAGGGCGGCCCGGTGGGGATCGCCATTCCACTTTATGACCATGCACTGAATTAACGAGGCCAGATGCCGCCCCCCCCCCCTCACTTAACATGTGTGAAAGTGCCCTCCGATGGGCTCAGCTGCTTTAAGGATGTACAGACAGAGAGGGGGGAAAGGAGATAGGGCCTATTTTCAATTATACCAATTTCTCACTCATGGTTGGCTCCAGAGGTTTATGTTAATTAAAGATATCAGCCCTTCTTCTGTGCACACAACAAATTAGATGGAATTTTCTATGAACAATCAAAGTACCTCTCCTGTCCTTCATCTCCATTTCAGTAGTCACCCACCAGAGGGTACTGCCTCCTTAGCGGCGCTGCCACAGTTTCATGGGTACTGTGTCAATCTGGTGCTAATGTATTCTAAATGAGTCACTGGTACAACCACTATCTGCAAGGACAATAGGTCAGGAAATGCCGAGCCGGCTCAATCCATTTAGAAATGAAACCCATCTGAAGAATCAACAAGAGCTGAAGAGATTTATCACCGCTCCTCAAAACCATGAGTCTGCTTCTGTGTCGGGGGATGGTACCAACAATGGTATGGAAGCCATGACTTCTTATTGATTTTCCGCCCGGCTTTATGACAAGGCGGCTCTGGCATTTCTGTATTGTTGGGGTCAAAAGTGGGAGGGTAATTGCAAGAGATACATTTTATGTGGTTTAGATATATGCAGTTAAGCCGCATTCAGACAGCCTAAAGGCTGGACCTGTAACCTACGTTTACCTGATCAGCATCTTACAGGACTTTGTTTAATGGGTTAAACATCACCACTGTTCTCATTCATGTGGCTTATTATAATAACAAAAGGATTGTTTCTTTGTCATTATAATGGAATTCAGTCATTCAGACTATTACCCAAATGGAAATGATATCAAAACCCCAAACAGACTCACTCATTAACAAAATGAAATGACAGCCAACACTGCATCAGTTACAACTCAACTTTCTCTGATTCTTTATGCATTACATCATGCCATTAAAAAAAGCAACACACAGGCAAGCTCAGTGTTTTTCTACCAGCCAGCAACTGCCATCATCCTGACACAGGCAGGAAAAGGGTGCAGAGACGCAGCGTGGCGCAATCCCAGTGAGAGCCATCATGCGAGCAGATTAAATAACATTTTTCCAATGCCCTGTCAAACATTCAGCCGTGTCTGAGCAGCTAGACAGCCGTTACAGCCTCACTGTATGAGGCATTGCTCTCTCTCTCTCTATGGTCAGAAACAGCCTCTTTGATCCGGATATCGCCCCTCAGATTCCTCAGAGGTGACACTCACACGCGCCTGTATGTGAGGTGAATGTTTACTAGCTCGCTGTACCTTGTCAGCGGTGAGACCTGTGTTTGTGAAGGGGGGAATGACTCACACTGCTACTATGCTTCCCTCGGTTTACATGAATCAACAACAGACTGCGGACTCAGACCCAGATCAAATTGCACATCAGATTTAATTTCCCACAAACACTGGTTTAAGCACTGCAAATAGAGATGATGCGAAATGATACAGACAGCAGTATGGCAGTGTGTACATAATTATGATTTAGGCTGCTATATTCTCATCTGATAGGAGTCTTAGGCTGAAACGCTCGGTGCTGTCTTCCCATACAAAACCCACACTGCAGACCAACTCTTGCTCTTGTGTACAACTCCATTAAGAGGCCAACCGCCACTTCCTTTTTCATCCAATCCACAAGTGAGTGAAACTAAATGGATATTCTAACCTCTGGGGGAAGTGAGGAAGATGCTGTTTCAAAACGTAATCAGAAATACAAGCTATGCAAGTTTTCCTACATGACAGCATTGGCTGACACAGGGATTTCAGTCACACAACTAGTTACCATTTGAAAAATAGCACTACCACTCTGATATAAGAACTAACCACACAATTGAACAGCAAAAGCATTAAATTCTACTACAAAAGACACCTCTAGTGAATGCCACAGTCCATTTCTATAAAAACCTCAATGTCTTCTACAAATGTCTGGAAAAAAAAAAATACATTTTAGTTTTAAAACGCATCACATTTGTTACTTTTATTCATGTTGTTCAGACAACTCCAGGGTTTATTAAGCCCCTAAAGTTGAGAGAGTTTTAGTCTAAACTCTGGAAATGCATTTTAGTCTAGAAGGACAGAAATTGAGCCTTTTGGAAATAGTGACACAGCCACCCACATTCGTTTCTCGATTGGGTCTTAACGGTTCCATCTCGGCCACTGAAAATGAAATCCTTGGTCCTACCCTTCATTACAGTTTCTTATCATAGTATTTTCAGCAACTAAAAAAATAAATAAAGTCAACTGCAAACACACAATCTGCCTCCTGCTTTCACAGACGCACACATTTCAGGTGTACATAAATGATCATGTCATATGCATTTTCAAGTTGGTTCAGTATTAATGGAGATTTTTTCTAATACAGAGCAAAAAACACACTGGATGAAGATTGTTTTTCTTTAAAAGGCTGCTTTAAACGTAACTGTAATGTAATGTACAAAAATGTATTGGTGTTAGTGTAGTCTAACCCCTAACTTGTTTATGTTATTAGCAATTTTTAGGCTAATGCGGTGGCACAAATAAACTTGTGTCAAGTAACATCAAATTGGTAAAAGACTTGTTGTCTGTAATATCTTTACACTCTATCTGCTATTGACCCTGAAATCAAGTCACTCCCATTTCAGCTTGGAGAGCCCTGACTGACAGTTCAGCTTTGTCCACAGTTACAGGAACACCACTGTCGAGTGTTTAACTGTAATTACTCCTCATAGCTCACACAATGTTGCATATTCACGTTTGTGTGACTAAACCTCAAATGTTCAAACTATTTCTCGGAGACCTTTATGTTTCAACAACCATCCATTATCTGCAAAGCCGGTGTCATACATTAGCCTCGTGTAGTGTAGTCCCACTCAAGTGGATTAATCTCATCTGAATCATTAAGCTAGAGGTCACTTCTCTGCTAGTAGAGGAACAAAAAAATGCCACAGGAAGCTGGGCATGGTGGAGATTAGCTCCTCACAATTAGCGATGCAACTTCCGAGTCCACATTCGAGCTCGGTGAAAAATGCAGCAGCAGTGGAAGGATTTCAGGAAAGGATTGTTTTATATGGCAGAGATTGAAGGCGATCGCTGCTTCCCCTCTGTCCTCGTTTTGAATCTTGAGGCTTTTCTTTGTGCTTGTGTGCTGCTTCATACCCTGTGGATTCAGCTTCTGAGAGTCACAAGAACACTTACTATGTCCAATGTTACAGTGATTTAAGCAAACAAGCCCTCCTCCCTGTGTTACTATAACTGAAAACATTAGATAAGCTGCCTTTCAGACAAATAACTGTAGTCTGCTTTCAGATCCTAAGCTGCCCCCTCCTAAACAGACACACATCCCACCAGCCACCCCCCTCACTCCTAGCTCTTTACAACAACAGCTACAGATCTCCTCCCGCCCTCACCCACCCCACAGTGAGGGCCTGCATGTGCTTGGGCCAGAGTTCATAGCCTCTGGGGTGCTGAAGGGGGGGCATCAAGTTAATTTGGTGGCCCTTCAACAGTTTGAAACTGGTTCACACATGATCCCCCTAAACTCTTCCTTCAAAAACACACCAAGATACTCTCCATTATTACAGTGCAATAATCAATTTATGACATGAGGGGGGTTGTAAATCCAACAAGCCAATGGAGGGGAATCCCACCTGTCAAATGTATGTGCCACAGACTCATCAAGATTTATTTCATCATTTCCCAAGGGGAGAAAACGTCTCTAATGTGTCCTCGGAGCAGATTGCTCAGATAAACATCCACAGATACTTTCCAGCATGTTTCCTGGGACAGCTCTACCTTTTGTTCACTCCACTATTCTCACTTTGGAAACCATTAGCAGCTGGAGCCCTGTTACAGGCTGGGCCAGGTCATGGAGGTTGCTCCAGGGTCTGCTTCACAGTCCAGACTAGAGCCAAGTTTTACAGCAGCGGCCAACTTTCAGCCTGGCCAGAGCCATTCCTCAAAACATTTGACTCGAGGTCACACGCGCTTCCTGCTCCGGATATAAACAAAACAAAAAGAATCAGGACACATTTTTTATCTTAAAACTCACCCAAGTTCCACTCGGCTTCAGTCATCATCACTATTGTCCAACAACTCTGTCTGGATAACGCACACTGCTCCCCCCTCCACCGCTTGTCTGCGCCCTCCTCCACCAACCACAACCATCCTGCAATTTTTTTCCCTTTTTTTTTTTTTTTGAATGCAAGTACTCACCCGCCAGTCTGGTGATTCGTGGGGAGTCCCAAAGACTGCTGCAAACAAGTTGGGGGAAAAAAAGCGAGCCTTGCCCGAGATGACCCACCGAACTTCAAAAAATATATATAAAGAAAGCGAGCTGGGCCAAATCCAAGACCCGGGACAGAGTGAGGCGAACACGCACACTTCTTGTGAAACAGCACGCTGCCCGCACGGAGGGACTCGGGCGAGCACTTGCTTCCAACAAAGACGGTTTCACTTTACTGATAGACTCATGTTCGCAGCAGCAGCCCCCTGTTCTTCTTCTTCTTCTTCTCCTCCGGACTGCTCCTATTCCCCTCGGCCGTGTTGTTGTTGTTGTAGCAGTCGGTGATAGTGTCCACATGAAAAGTAACGCGGCGCTGCTAGTTGTTGCGAATGAGGGGGGTGAGGAGGAAGCCAGCGAGTTCGCCGTTTACAGGCTCCGCTTCCTTTTTCCACACACACTCACACACGCACACACACACTCTCCTCTCTCCCTCTCTTCCCTATGCACACACACACTTCACGTCCTCCCTATCGCTCCCTCCGTCTCTGTGAACCCCTCCTCCTCCTCCTCCTCTTCAGCTGTTCAACAGACGCATCCACATGGCTGACCTAGTCTTTCTTTATCCAGACACTAGTGAAGGAGAATTACCCCGACCACACTCTCTCTCACACACTCACACACACACACACACACACACACACAACAAGCACAAAAAAAAAAATCCGAGCGAAACAAAAACATGGACTGGATTCAAATAATCGTCAGGGACAAAAGGGTGGTGGTGGTTTGGGAAGAGAGAGGGGGTGGAGGGAGAGGAGGGCACCAATGGGGCTGATTGATGGAAGCCCCGTAGGGACACGCTGTGTGTGTGTGTGTGTGTGTGTGTGTGTGTGTGTGTGTGTGTGTGTGTGTGTGTGTGGAACTGCATGAGGAAGCAACACGCAGGCTACCAGAGCGACCATCATCAGCCGATCAATGGGGAATGTAACACTGAAGCAAGACAATGAAAGCGGTGAGCGCTGGTGCTAATAGTAGTACTAGTCCTAATTCCTTCATTGCGCGGTTTGTTTTTTGGTTTAATAGAAACTTAAATGTACAATCATTTTATGTACAAGTGATTTCTATTTTAAAACAAGAGTATAAAGATTCAAGAGCGAGGGAGGGAGGGAGGGAGGGAGGATGACTGCTGCTTATGCTTGTGGAGCTCATTTGCATTTTTGGATAATGAATTAATTAGTCACCCCCCACCCCCCCTCCATTAAAAAGGCAGAAACAAGCAGGGAAGATAATGTGAATAGTCCATTAGCAGTATTTGTGAAGGCTGATTTTAATTTAGTCTGCACATGACATCCAATGTGATCCTGGTCATTTCCCCCAAGGTCTCAGTGCTCATTTAGTCCCGTTTAGTGGCAAAGGCAAAACTCACAGTTTGTTTTCTTTTTTTTATCTAAATCAAACCATTGAATTGAAATAATAATAATCATCTGACCATCCGCCCCACACGAATATGGTATTAAGTTATAGAAATGAATGGGTAGCTTGACACATTTTCATTGTCTTAAACATGATATTGGATCACTGTCAAAAATCCAATTAACTCCAACAAATTGTCTGCGCACTCTTTTTTTTTTATCCACTAAAGCCAAAAGACAGGCAACAGGGGAGGCGGGCGGTAAAGAAACTGAGTGGAGGGTGGTGTGCAGAGAGTCCTTCATTGTGCTGGAAACCCTGTTGGTCATCTCTGTTTCATGAGCAGAGTGGGGGTGGGTTGGGGGCTGGTAATTCTACTGTGCAACAAAGTGCTGGTAAAACCTTTTCCAGTTCCTAAGGCTACTGTCCTGAGAAGTCATGCCCCCACCCTCCCCCTCCACAGAGTAACATAACACCACCACAGCCACAGCTGCTCTCTTATCGCTGTATGTATACATTTCACAGGGTCAATATTTATGATATTTACACAAACACACATAGTCTGCCTCCTTTCCTGAGTTACACAAACATTCAAATGATCCAAAACTGACATGGACGGTGGAAATGCAAGTCTGGATTTCTGATGCATAATCAGAGTCTAGAAGGAAAAAAAACAAAGGCTCCAAAAAATACTCCTGTCATGTTTCCAAGAAGAGACCAGTCAAATGCCAACATTTCTCAGTAGGTTGGTGAGGCTTAAGTTGGCCCGAGATGGCAGTGAAGGGTGAATGCAGTGAATCCTGTCTGAAGGCAGTGCAACGCAAAGCCGGATTGGCTGGCAGGGCAGGCTCCCCTCTCTGGCAGATGAGATCCCATTATCAGGCAGACGAGAACTCCACCTCCAGGATTTCACAGCTCCTCTGTTTATCACATGGCTCTGTCAAGTTGGGCACCATTAACCGATAATGAAAGGAGACAACCGGTGCAGTTACAAGCAAAGCACTCCACATTCTACAGGCCTAAGCATGTATCTGGGAAGCTGACTGTGTCTATTCAATTCTGTTCAGCATTCAAACGGCCCATCACAATACCTTTTCCCTGAGTAACCCCCCCTGCTACAGTGCCTTCGATCCCCAACAGAACAAAAACTGGTTACTTGGTGCCTCTTTCTGCTTTCAGAGGAAATTACATCTAACGGAGCTGCGCGCTGCTCGAAAAAGAAAAAAAATGACACTTTTCCACAACACTATTTTTCCTAAAGATTGTTAAAGAAGAACAATTCCTTGAAAGAGCTATGGAAAACAAAGGGGGTGTATAAAAGGAAAGAAATGGCAAAAAAACAACAACCTACTGTCATTTTAAAATATGTTTTTTCCCAACCACATCAGACATAATTAGTACAAGTGTTACTAAACAGAAAGACTGCAAGACTGCCACTGAATCAAAGGCCAACATGTACCCCCCCCCCCAAGTCTGACTACTCCATTTATGGTTTATAGGATTCTGTAGCCACTTACGCTCATTAAAAATGAATACTTAACAAAAGCCGCGGCTGACACAGTGTTTGCTTTAGCCTGATTTCCTCCACGCCGGAAAAAAACAAGCCACTCAGAGGCAGCAAACACAGAATGGAAGCAAAAGAGATGAGATAGAGTGAAAGTGCTCGGCTACACAAATAAGTCAGCCAGTAGCTGAAACAACAGAAAAAAGTGACATGGATGACTGAGCCAAGCCTGTGAGAGACTTGGCAAGCCTCAGAGGCCCTGGCCTCTTAAGCACTCATATCTAGTAACTTCATTTAATACATTCACCAGGGATGAGCAGACAAGTTGGGGGGGAGAGAAGAAAACCGACTTGTAAACCGAGGGGGAGGGTTAGGTTTTGGCGGTGGTGAGGGTGTACTTCAGAAGCTTGATTTTAGCACATGACTAAATCTCAGCAGCACAACAAGCCAACTTCCCTGCTGCTTAAACATAATACAGGGAGGAAAGAGCGGATGTGCGAGACTGAACCTTTAGACCGTTTTCCCATTCGCAGACAGGTATTATCTACACAAGCCGTTCCTCACATATTAGAGACTTGGAACAGTGCTATTCCAGATGGGGCTTTAAAGCCGCGACTCTCCCTTCGCCACACGTACTATATCCATAAAGAACAAAGACTGTGTGACTGCTGCTTGAAGTTACTGTTTCTCATACTGACGGCAAGTGCTGACCCCCCTCCCCACTCTTTTCTCTGTTGGCAAGCAAGCAAAAAAAAAAGAGGAGAAAAAAAGCTGACTTCCAATCATTCATTGCCCCTTTTAGCCTTCATGGATTCTTAAGAGAGCACTTTACAAGTTGGGGAATCCAACGGGAAAATAGGGTCTTACATGACTAATTAAAGCACAGACTTTGCCTGGAGGGGCTCGAGAGAAGGGGAAGCAATAAAACAACCCTCTCCAATCTCCCAACAAAGTAACCCAAGGAAATTACTAAATATGTTTGAACTTCGTGCCTGTGGATATGAAGATTTTAGGTTTTCAGGGATTATTGCTGGAGCTAAAGAGAACATTGCTTGATAGAGCAAAATTTCATAAATCAAATTAAAAAAGGATAGGGGTCACACTTCTCTGTATAGCCTGTAAAGGTGACAAAAGACTTACTGAAAACAAAGATGTCCATTGGAGACAATCCAAACAGACAGCTAGTAATTAAGCTGCTACCTAGCAAGCCTTTATTTGAGATCATTAACACACTCAAAATGTGAGGGAAGCCAAGGAATGGTATTTCACTTTAGGCAATCAGTGCAAGGTCTAGCCTCACATAGCCATCTTGTTTACATAGCTATTCACAGTCACATTTGGCAGCCTTGCAACACTCTGAAAACCAAGACACTTGTAGGCTACATATGTCCGATCTGTTTGCCAAAGCTACACAAGCTCCTCAAGAGAGTGAAACTCTCTCACAGCAGCCATTTGGTAAAACTATTGCATATAAAAAAATATGAATGTAAGTAAACCTTATTCCAGATGGAGACAGCTCCCACCTGGTTTCAAACTTATCAAATGTTAGTGAGAGGAAGAGCAGCATTTTTATCTACATGAAATTTAAAACAAAGCAGAACTTGTTGGCTCATTTAAAGACATTAATAAATATGAGCAAAAACAACAAACCGCTTTAAAAAGAACTGGCACAGTGCTTGTTCAAAATGTGCCTCTTATCTCATGAATTCAACATTTCATTCAATCATCACTGCTTTAATACTGCTGATAATAATGAAGGAACTAATGGAGTATGATACAACAATGTGGTAAAAAAGCTTCCTTAGTGAGGCTTATGAGGTTGCATTTCTTAAATCAGTTAGAAAGAGGTTTTGATTTAATGTTACCGTCTTTTTTGGTGCTGTTGAACTGTACTGGGTTTATATTTGTCTACGCCATTTATATGAAACAAGATAGACAAAATATTTGGAATGCCTCTCGGTGCAACTCAGTTCAGCACAGCAAATTACAGCCTTTAAAAGAGGCCATTAAAATAAATCCACACCCTCTTAAAAATTCAATAAAAAGTGAACATCACATCCACATAGAGGGAGGATTTATTACAGGGTTGTTGTGTTGTATTGCATTAATTTTATTTAGGTGTACCTAATAAATGGACCAATGTAGATTTAAAGATACACTATTTTGAACAAGAATTAATTCTTAAAATGGGTATGGCGTGGATTTATTTCATCACTGGAGAAATATACAGTCGAGTTAATAATTTTTTTCATCAGCACGGAAAAAGTTGGATTTATTTAAGGATTATGACAATTTGCAACGTTACTTTTTTACTCATGCATGTGAGAAAACAGAAAACGGAAAATATTCAAATTCCTACCCCCTGATGTAATGCATTCCTACCCGACAAATTTTATACTAGACAATTCTAACACAAATGTGTGTTCAAAGGTTGTGTAAGGAGGCAAAAATAAGAACGACTTTGATTGTTTGACTGTTCGATTCATGAAGCTGTTGCATATAAGTTAAAAATGGAAGCGTGCGCCAGATCTATAACAGGAACCCTCGTGTTTTTGGATTTTTCATTTTCTTCTGTAGCAGGTAAATTAATGAAATAAACATTTACATGGCAAGAAAATACAGATCAGATTTCCTAGCAGGAAAACTGTGCTTCTTATTTTATCCAGAATTGTGCAGCTCTGGCACTTGAGTAATACCTTAGATGCTATTTCCACTAAACCCCTGATTTTTCCACATTCTTCAAGCCCTCACATGGACCGTCTGTGTCTGTCTGATTCTCCAAGCAAAACAGGGCCTCATTCATCTGAATAAAAGACTGGTTCAGGCAGCGGTGGCTGCACTGAGAACAGCCTCTGAGGAATGAGACTGTATTTCCAGGAGGG